TTTCCCAACATAATGTGTTGTTTTTTTAAAACAACTCTGCTTCAGGAATTGATTCTGAGAAAGAGATCAAACTACCCTGCTGCTTACTAACATCTTTCCACAAAGACCACAACCAGTACATGGACTTTTTTGGAACAAAAAAACTTTACCAGCACCTGCATGTCTTTCCAACACTGAAACTTTGGTAGCACATTAAGTAAAGGAACTTGTGTGAAAGCATCTCATGACAACTTGTACCATAATAAAATATGAGACTATATGGATTTTGCCACTCTTTCAGCTGGGTATAACACATTAAAAATAATACAGAATCCTTACTAAGCTATAGAATCAATGCCTAAAATGAATGACAACAAAATGCTACCTGCCCCTACTACTGAAATGCCAGCTTGCTTCTTTCTTGGTTCTGAATGAACTGAATGACCATGTCCACACAAGCACAGACATTTGTTTCGCCGGGGTGCCACTGGTTCTTGTCCCTGGGAAATGCCTAAGAATTGAAGGGAAGCTGGGAGACGGTGATCACAAGTTGATCACTTTCACTATCCATTGCAAAGTTGGCAAGTCAGTCAAAAATGCAGAAGTCCTTGACTTTGGGAAAGTCAGCATTCATAAGCTCAGGAGGCTAGTTGTCAAGGCCCTGAGAGACCATGATTTAACAGGGTGGGGAGTTTACAATAAGTGGTCGCTCCTTAAGGAAGCGATCCTTGAAGCACAAGAGAAGTCCATTCTAGCCCATAGGAAAGGTAGTAAAACAGCTTGGCAATGTTCTTGGCTCAACAGGGAGCTCATGGATCTCCTGTGTCTAAAAAGAGAAGCTTATAAAGGATGGAAGATAGGAAACACCACTACGGAAAAGTATGCAGCACAGGTCCACACTGATAGGAAGCGAACTAGGAAAGCCAAGGCTGTAACTAAACTCCAACTGACTACACGAATCAAGGACAATAAAGTCTTTCTTCAGATACATTGGAAGTCAGAAAGAAAAACAAGGGCAACACCGGACCCCTGCTAAACCAAATGGGGCAGTTGATAACTGACACCCAGGAAAAAGCCAATCTGCTTAGTGATTACTTTCGTCAGTCTTTCACCAAAGAGACCATCCTGCCTGACAAGATGCAGCATAGCAAAATGCAGGATCACTAGGATAAGGGTGAATATATGCCCACCTTTGGTATAGATCTTGTGAGGCAACACCTTGAGAGGCTGGACACCCACAAATCAGCTGGTCCAGATCGGTTGCACCCAAGAGTGCTAAAGGAACTGGCTGACATCATAGCATGGCCACTAGGAAGGATATTTGAGAACTCGTGGCACTCGGGTGAGGTACCTGAAGACTGGAACAGAGCCAATGTGGTGCCTATCTTCAAGAAAGGAAAGAAGATCTGGTAAACTACAGGCCAATTAGTTTGACCTCAATCCCTGGAAAGATCTTGGAAGAAATCAAAGAAATCATTAATGACAGGATAACAAAACGCATCATTCTGAGGAATAGCCAACATGGCTTTTTTGTGGGTAGGTCCTGCCTGACTATTCTTATTTCCATCTATGACCAGGTGACACATCACCTGGACAAAGGAGAAGAGGTTGATATCATATATTTGGACTTCAAAAAGCCTTTGACCTGGTGTCCCGTGATGTCCTCATGGCAAAATTGGGGAACTGTGGCCTCAACAGCCTTATGGTCCTGGGGAACTTGCTCCAAGGTTGGACCCAGAGACTGGTAGTTGATGGAACCAAATCAATAGGGAACATAATGACCAGTGGCGTCCCCCAAGGCTCCATTCTTGGACCTGTACTCTTTAATGAATTTATAAATGATCTGGACTCTGGTGTCAGAAGTGGACTGACTAAGGTCACTGATGACACCAAACTACGGGGAAGAGTGTCCACACTTGAGGATAGGCTGGTGATCCAGGCCAACCTCAACAGGTTTGCAAGGTGGGTGGATGAAAATCTGATGGCATTCAGTACAGAGAAATGCAAGATGCTCCACCTCAGGAGAAAAAACCTGCATCACACTTATAGGCTCAGTAGTGCTACACTCAGTAGCAATATGACTGAAAGAGACTTGGGGATCATGATTGACCACAAAATGAACATGAGCCACCAATGCGATACCGCATCCAGCAAAGCAAACAAAACTTTGGCTTGCATATATCAATGCATCTCAGGAAAGACCCAGGAAGTCATCTTGCCACTGTACTCAGCCTTGGTGAGGCCACAACTGGAGTACTTCATCTAATTCTTGGTTCTGCAATTCAGACAGGATGTGGAAAAGCTTGAAAGAGTCTGGAGGAGAGCCACATGCATGATCAGAGGGTAAGAGAGCAGTCCTTATGAAGAGGCTGTGAGCCATGGGACTCTCCCGTC